ATCTGCTACAACTGTGGAAAAGATGGCCATCGCATGGATGAGTGCAATGGCGAAACCAATGCTGTTTTGGTGCAACAGAAGATTGCAGCAAGAAACCAGCCAGCGGGAAACGCCGAAGGCCGCCAGTAAAGGGACGACAGGTGGCCAAAGACAAACCCAAGAAGAGTCCCATAAGGCGATCTGCAAAGGTGAATTTGCAGATGAAGCCATCTCAGGCCACATCCAAGAAATCTCCAGCTGCACTAGTGGGTGACCAATCCACTGTCTGGGCTGAGGTCGACGGAGTGCCCTGTGAGTGCCTTATGGACACTGGATCCCAAGTGACATGCATATCTGCTGAGTTTTATCACAAGAAGTTGGCGCATCGTCACTTGGAATCCATTGACGACCTGCTCGTGGTTGGTGCAAGTGGAAGCACAGTTCCCTACATTGGCTACATCGAGATCCATTTGCACTTCAACGCTGACGAGGCCGGCGTTCAAGCAGACGAAACCACACTGGCACTGGTTACTCCAACCCGAGATGGCAGCGATCGAATACCCCTCCTCATTGGTACCAACACTAGTGTAGTAAGGAGAATGTACGAGAGCTGCAAGCAGAAGGCAGGAGCAGATTTTCTCCAGACGTTGAAGGCAAGTAGTGCCCTTGTTTCTGCCTTTCGACGAGTTGACACCGAACAAAATGAAATTCTTAAAGTGCGACCACCCTTGAAGGTCATTCTACCCAAGAATGAAGCTGCCAAGCTAAAGAGTGGCGAGACGACAACATTGAAAGGCAGAGTGGACTTTCATGGAGCACCAGCATCCTTACTCATGATAGAAGAAGGCAACAACTGTTTTTCTGCTGGTGGTTTGATTGTGAAACCCACCCTTTCGTCACCTTCTGAGTCATCCTCTTACACAGTACAGGTAGTAGTATGCAATGAATCACAACGAGACATTGTGATTCCTGGTGGAGTGCCCATTGCATATGCTTTTGCGGTAAATGTGTTTGAGAGTTCCACCGAGCCCCAGAAGGTAAATTGCAATACTGCAGAGACCAACCCCGAGGTAAAAAAGGAAACAGAGTTTAACATAAACCTTGCTGAGTCTTCCTTGACTTCAGAGGACAGAGAGAGACTAACCAAACTCCTACATTCCTACCAAGATGTGTTCTCTGTAAATGACCTCGACATTGGGTGCACCTCTTCAGTCAAGCACCGCATCCAACTATCAGACGACACTCCCTTTCGAGAGAGCTGCCGAAGGATTCCTCCTGCCGACTATGAAGACACCCGGCGTCATCTCCAGGAACTGAAGAAAATGGGCATTATACGAGATTCGCAGAGTCAATTTGCATCACCCATTGTTCTTGTCCGGAAGAAAAACGGAGACCTTCGACTCTGCATAGATTACAGGAAATTAAACAAACGTACTGTCAAGGACCAGTACAACATTCCTAAGATAGAAGATACCCTACACACACTATCTGGAGCAGCTTGGTTCTCCACCCTTGATCTTAAGTCCGGGTACTACCAGGTCGAGATGGAAGAGGAAGATAAGCCAAAGACAGCATTCTGGTGTCCTCTCGGGTTCTACGAGTTCAATCGGATGCCCCAAGGGATCACCAATGCACCAGCGACTTTCCAACGATTGATGGAGAAGTGTATGGGAGATATGGCTATGTCAGATGTCCTGGTATATCTTGACGACTTGTTAGTCTTCTCTTCCAGCCTAGAAGAACACTTCGAACGACTGACCAAAGTTCTATCACGGCTGCGAGAGTACGGTCTGAAACTCAATCCAGAGAAGTGCTGTTTTGCCAAGACATCAGTCAACTGTCTTGGGCACGTCGTATCCAAGGATGGGGTGAGCACGAATCCAGACAAGATTGTTGCTGTCCAGTCATGGGAAAGACCTCTATCCGCGAAGGAGTTGAAGACGTCCCTCGGGTTCACAGGTTACTATAGAAGGTTCATCCCTCATTATAGCCGTATTGCGAAACCCCTTCATGACTTACTGCGTGAGTATGAACCACTCCAAAAGCGAGGGAAGAAGCAGAGCTCGTCCAAGTCTAGCAAGTCCATACCAGCTAAACCCAAGCCATCAACACCCTTTGGTGACAACTGGACAGCGAAGTGCCAAGATGCTTTTGAGGAGTTGATAAACAAGCTCACCACTGCACCAATCCTAGCTTTTGCCAACTACTCATCACCCTTCATCCTTCATACTGATGCTAGTACCATTGGGCTTGGTGCTGCGTTGTACCAGATGGTTGACGGCAAGGAAAGACCCATCGCCTATGCCAGCAGGGGTTTGTCAAAAAGCGAGACAAACTATCCAGCTCACAAGCTGGAGTTCCTTGCTTTAAAGTGGGCAGTAACAGAGAAGTTCGTAGATTACCTCCACAGGGCTAAGTTTACTGTCCTAACCGATAACAATCCCCTGACCTACATCCTTACCTCCGCCAAGTTGGATGCCACTGGTCACCGCTGGCTTGCTGCCCTTGCTAATTTTGATTTCACCATCAAGTACCGGCCTGGCAGAAGAAACGGTGATGCAGATGGACTTTCGAGGAAACCTCAAGCATCCCTCGGAGACGACGACGACTCGATCAACATTCAAGACAAGATCGTTAAACTCCTGGAACGCCTACAGGAAGATGAGGGTGTCTGCCCACAAGATGCTTTCAAAGCCATCTGCGAGGTGCATCAAGAAGAAAATCCTGCCCTGATAGAGATGCTCACTGACAGTGAAGCAGCCATTCCAGACGAGTTTAACTTGCCTGTTCCAGGGCAAACTGCACTCCCTTCGTTGACTCCTGGAGACTGGCGGAGATTACAGCTGGAAGATGACTCCATCCGGGAGGTGATCAAGGTCATTGAAAGTGAAACGAGAGTCACATCACAGTTGCGATCGGAGATGCCCCAGGAGGCCAGAGTAATCTTACGGCACTTACGTCACTTGAAGTTGAAGGATGGTGTGCTCTATAGAGTTGGCAAAGGTGTAGATGATAGACCGATGCTTCAGATGGTTTTACCCAAAAGCCATCGCGGGGAAGCATTCCGACTCCTTCATGACGAGACTGGCCACCTTGGGATGGAAAGGACACTCGACCTCCTTCGCAGCAGATTCTACTGGCCACGGATGGATGCGGAAGTGGAACATCGCTGTCAAACCTGCGAGAGGTGTGTTCAGCGAAAGCGGCGTGCCCACCGGTCAGCTCCCTTGGTCAACATAAAAACTACTGCACCTATGGAGTTGGTATGCATGGACTTCCTCTCCCTAGAACCTGATGACAAGAACACCACCAACATCCTTGTCATCACTGACCACTTCAGCAGGTATGCTCAGGCTTATCCTACTAAGGATCAGAAGGCCAAGACAGTTGCAAAGGTTCTGTGGGAGCAATTCTTCATTCACTACGGTTTCCCGGAGAGGCTGCATTCTGACCAGGGCAGGGATTTCGAGGCTAACTTGATAGCGGAACTGTGTCAGATTGCCGGAATTCGAAAGTCCAGAACTACACCCTACCATCCACAAGGGAATGGCCAAGTCGAGAGATTCAACCAGACCCTCATCAATATGCTTGGTACGTTGGAGGACGCGAGGAAACAGGAATGGCGTCTCCATGTAAAACCCCTGGTCCACGCCTACAATTGTACCAAGCATAGTGCCACCGGAATGTCTCCCTATCTTCTGATGTTTGGGAGGGAACCCCGACTGCCGATAGATGTACAGTTTGGGCTTGGAGATCAACGAGCTGCGGCTCCTTCACACCATAAGTACATCCAAGGTCTGCGAGAACGGCTGAACCAAGCACATAGGTTGGCTGCCGGTCAGGTTGAAAAGGCTGCCGCTTATCAAAAGAAGAGATATGACCGGACGGTTCGAGACCAAGCCCTCACAGCTGGAGACAGGGTCCTTGTCAAAAATCTGGGTTTCAAGGGCAAGCACAAACTGGCTGACCGGTGGGGGTCTAGACAGTACATCATAGTCAGGAGGATAAGCAATGACATGCCAGTCTATGTGGTGAAACCCATAGATGATAATGGCCCCGAGCGGACACTCCATCGCAACCTTCTTCTACCATGCGGATTCCTCCCTCAGGAGCCTGATGTGGAAGTCGTGCAGCCCAAACCAGCTCCAAGACCAAAGCCTCGCAGATCAAAGAGACTACCAACCAACACACAGCCTATTCCAACGTTACGATCTTCTGATGATGAATCTGAATCGGATCTCTTTCTTCCTGTGGATCCAGTTGTCATCCTAACTCGTCCAACTCCTGCCCCTCGACGACATAGCTTAATTCCTACCCTATCTGGTCCAGAAGATCCAAATGTATCCCTGAACCCTGACGCTCAGGAGTTTGTACCAGATCACCCTAATATTCTAGAACCCCAGCCTCACATCACAGACCCTGATGATACGGTCCCAGTCACAGACACAGAAGATGAGCCAGAAGGACGCCCTAGAAGATCATCAAGGAGACGTGTTCCCCCAGATCGTCTCTGGTATGGTACTCTTGGGAGGGCGAAATTTAAACTCATGGAAGAACACCTTGCTGTTCAAAAGCAGAGTCTAGTTCTCCTACAGACCTGTTTAAGATAGTTTTTGTTTTAATTGCCATGGCGGGACGCCATGATTCTAGGAGGGGAGAGTGTCAGACCCTGTTTATTAACAAGGTATATTCTGTTTTTGAGTAAACCTATATTGCTTTAAACTGTTACACCCCTCTTTGAATTGTCCCTTTAAACCTTTTTTATGTTTCGACCACCTAGCTGGTATATGCCACTGGTGAAGGGAACAAAGAGACCCCTGTCATATAGGCCTTGTTTATGTCAAAAACCCAGACCACTTCCCTAATTCGTAGAGTACATAAACAATGAATGACCAGTGGATACATTTACTGGTACTCCTTTGTCTTAGGAATAGGGAATATTGGGGTTGTTTGCCTAGTTTGGGAGGAAGATTGGCTCTCCCTTTGAGAGCTAATTTGGACACCAGCGAGACAAGTCATATTTTTAGGAGAGTACAAGAACCATATTCTTGTACTGTTATTCCTTCTACTTTTAAATATTGTATTCTTCGCCTGGTTGTCACCCTCCCTGAACAGGTAAGACCCACTGTTTTCTAATTCCTTTTAATTCATTGCTAAGGCTGTAATCGAATATTGCCTTTTTAATATAGTTATTCATATTCACTATCATAAGTCTTTGGTAGTATTTTATTTGATAGAAGAAGTGATATGATTTACATTCAGTCAGAATAGAATAGGATATGTTCTATTTCAGTATGTTATACTGCCCTGATAATTATTCTTGGTTTACTCTAAGAAAGATGTGATATATTTTTATTTTCATCAACATAATAGTTTGGCCTAACTCAATTTGCCAAAGCTTAGTTATGTTCTGAACTTTTCAATTCTATTCCAGTCGAGATGAGACTTGGAATATAATAGCTTAAGTTTTACTTTATCATTTCATGACATTGTTGTACAGTTGAGCTCATGTTTTGTAGCATAGTTATGCTGTGTTCTATACTACTTTGTATATATTTTATTCTTAGTTTGTTGTGAGTAAGTTTATTACCTTAGTTGTTATCAACTCTCTTTCTCTCTCTCTCTCTTTCTTTCTCTCTCTCTTTTTCTCTCTTTCTCTTTCTATTCATTCTATTCATGTCGGGTTATAGAATTACATTTATTAAAATCTCATTGTTGTATTAATAATGGGAGAGCTAATTTGGACACCAGCGAGACAAGTCATATTTTTAGGAGAGTACAAGAACCATATTCTTGTACTGTTAATTCTTCTACTGTTAAATATTGTATTCTTCGCCTGGTTGTCACCCTCCCTGAACAGATATCGGTCGCCCTGTTCAGCCCCTTAAAAGTCCTACTGTATTAGACGATCGGAACTGGTTTAGACTGTCCCCCCTGTTACCAAGGCAACGTTCTCCGCCCTGGCCATAGATGAACAGAAGGATTGATAGTTTTATACCTCAAGATAATTATAGTCCCTTTCTTTTAAACCTTGTATAGTTATTGTATATGTTAAGAGTTTTCACTGTAAGTTTGTGAAGCCTTGCATGTCGGCTAAAGATTCCGCTGATATATATAACTGTTATATGGTTACCAATACATGTTTTTTTATGTATTATACTTATTAATTGGATGAGTGATATTTTGTAGCTTAACCTACCTTTGAGGTTAAGTGTTAATAAATCCTTTCTTTTGGATCTTTCACTCAAACTACTCTGTGGAGATATCCTTATTTGTTTTGTTGTTTCTTTAACTAAAATCTCCTGTATAAAATAAACCCCTGAACTGGGTGCAGGTGAACAAGGATTTACCTGTGACATGGGCAATATGGCAAATATGATTATGGTCAATAATATGGTCACGTTTCTATGAAGCGCCGTTTGTAAACAATTATATAGACAAATTATATGTTATAAGATCATTATTTAACAAATAATAACCATTATTTACATATAATGCAAGAAAATGTACATTTATTTGTATATAATTCATAACACATTGTTATTATTTATAAATAATTACATTTCATACTTCATTATTTATGAATAATTACAATTCACATTTTCATTATTTATAAATAATGACAAAGTACGTTTCATGTATACAGCGAGACTGAGAATGATGTGTCAGCTTCCGGGTCAGCTAAATTCCGGCCGAGGCCTTCTCACGGGGGCTTTCTACTCATGCCTGCCTGCCCTTGTCGACTTTTAACCTCAGGCAATGTACCGTACGCCATTAATTTTGCATTAGTATTTGATTTATAACGGGAACATTCCCGAGATCATAAGTAACTTTTATAAATTCACACCTTGTATGATATTTCTCCGATTTGGGCCGATCTTGAACTGAATGATCAGAATACAGCATAATGACCCTTTTCCCGGATTGAGTACTGCCAAAACATGAAAAGAGCTTAATCCGACATAACAATTAGAATGTTAACAGTAATGGGTACACAAAGCTTGAAAGTATCTTTGGCCATTGTACTGCCATAATGTCCGCCAGCGCAAAGTTAGTGATGGGTTTGGTAAGCATACTGAATCTGACCTCGAGTCTTGCTAACCACAGGATATTTTTTAAAAGTTTGGAATGAATTAAAACCACGTTTTAGTATTTTGATTAATGCAAATCTATATCTCCGGGCTCTTGCACGCCCATAGGCTACCCTTGGCCTAATTTTTATTTTCTTATAAAATGTCAAAAAAGTGTTTTTCAAAACATAAGACACGATAAAAGTCATATTTTGAAAATGTGATTTTCAATCCCAATTCCATCCCAACTTATGATGGCTGTGTATTTAACTCATTTGGAAGTGCAGGTTGATAATATTGCTTCTCTATTGAAATAAATGTTTGCATTGTGAATTTTACATCAGAGGCGCAATAAATACAATACAATTTGATTTATTGTACATTGTCAACAATAATATTCCTGTCACACTTCATGATGCTCAACAGGGCCGTAGCCGGAGTTTGATGTTTTTTTTTTTTTGGGGGGGGGGGGCACATACAGTCCTGGGGAGGGGTCGTGGCTACGGGCCTGATGCTCAAGGGGCTACAATTTTACACTACTTGTTTAGAAGTACACTGTCGTATGTGAAATACCCATTTAGTGTGTGAATTCGGGGAAAACACGCGAAATCCTCATTTAGGGTGTATTATGGCTTCGGAAGAAATCCTCGGGTGTCTGGAAAACCTGTGGTCACGCATTATAATTCAAAGTAATTCAAAGTAGGCCTAAATTCAGTAATAAAGGCATCATCCCATCCAACGTTTGTTCAGTATTAAAGGCGTGTCCTGCACTTGCTGGATGAGATGGAAATCTCAAGCTATAGACTTTTCATTCATTCATTCAAGGTTTATTTCGAAAAACATAAAGTACAATAATGCACATGCTGCAGCTAAAAAGCTGAAATGTAAGTGTTTACAATGATCAAGGTTACATATAAATAGGAAAGAATATCTTACATATAAGAATATCTTACATATAAATAGGAAAGAAAGTGCTCTTTTAAAGTGGTTTATTAAAGGAAATTGATTCTCTCCCCCCCCCCCCCTCCTATAAGGACAATTTTATGGATCAAAGGGACGACTTGTATCTTTACCGATGGGGCCCAGGGCAGAGCCTTTGTCCGGGGGGGGGGGGGTGTCTAGGGGCGAATTTATTGAATTGTTAATAATTTAGAAATTCAAAATAGCCGTCACGACGAGAGAAATGGTAATTTCCTCCTTGAAAGTCACATAGGAGACGCGTAGTCTCAGTGGTACACTGCATATTGGTTGTGTTCAGTTTTGATTAAAAAAATTACACAACGAATTTGCAGTGTAAAGTTGTGTGAAATGGTGTATAATACCATCATATATACACTAAACTCATTATAATAAGCTAGTTCGAAAATAGCTCTGGAACGAATATCCACGGATCTTAGACACCTGTCTTCCCAGGTCTTCCCACCTGTGCATTTCAGAATAATCACTGCCAATTAGTGATGGAGGTGCTTCATGAATACCTTTTGTTTGCCTCTTGAGAAGAATGCTTCCACCTGTGCATCAGATAAATGTACTGTTGGTGCATAAATGAATACTGATTACATAACTTTCATGAGCACGATCCGAGTATTCGTCTCAATGGTTTTTACAATTTGGGTGCGAATGACCTTTATCTGCCCATGCGCAAATCCTAATAACGAACTCGCTTATTATTTTGAGAGATATTAGCATAGCAATTATGTTCATTCTTTATGGGATGTCAGTTCAGTTCATTGTTTTATCGTCTGCTTGGGCAGGATTGGTTCATGTATCGTCATTAAAACATCGTTATTTTTTCTGGCGAATCTCTCGTATATCCTAGATGCCATGTCCACAGGTGGTTTTATTTGTATTTTTATAAATCAGCCGATATGTAATTGACCTAAAACTTGTATAAAAATGTTTCTAGTGATACGTTATTTACCATATATGATTTTCTTTGAACGGGCACTTTAAGAGCAACTTTTTCTTTAATCTCACCCACATCTGGTTCGGTACGCTCGCTCGTATTTAAAGTTGATATAATTATGTTTCTTATTAAGATCTTTTTAGTCTGGCATGATTAGATTGTGCTTTGTTTTGTCTTCTTTATAACATGTAATATTTTGCACTGTGACCTCACAAATCTCAATTTTCTTTTGCTCGCACGTTTAGTTCGCTCGCAAATAAATTTTCTAATCATCACAACCAACTGCAAAGTACATGCTTAAACAGTATTTTGGACCATGTAAAGAGAGAAACAAACATTGAAATCATCCCTGAAAATGTAATCACAATGTAGGTGTATATACCAATGTTTAACAAATTGTATATTTTCGATTGAGGTTTCCCTTTTAGGTATCCCCTTTCCCCGAAAAATGCCCTTTATTGTTGGTGCCCCCCCCCCCCACTTTGAATGACGCTCCGCCACACCTGGCCTGCTAAAACCCCTAAGCTTCCGGGGCTGCGCCCCTGGACCCCACGCCAATTTACGCTCCGCTGTACCTGATCGTAAATACTTTAGACCCCCCCCCCCCCACTTTTAAAAACGTTCCCCGGCCGGTGCCTGATGTTAGGTGTTTGAAGCTGAATCCCGACGCAAGTGATTGCTGTCTGCCCATCCTAACTGATGCAGGAGTCTTATACTGTGACTGGTTCTGAAGTAATAGGAAACCGTACCTTATGGTTGTCAACATTGTAAAAGTAAAGACAAAAAGGACAAACGTAACACTCTATGGACTCTTGATCTTGTTAAGACAATATTTACAGTGTTTAGTTAATATACGTGAACATGTATCAATATCAAGCACTTATACACCTCGAGGTACCGGTATCAGGCGCGGATCCAGGATTTTCCAATAGGGGGGGGGGGGGGGGGCCGGAAATTTGAAAATTGCGCAGACCGTTTTTTCAACTCAACATACCAATACTGACAAGGTCATATTAGAAGCACCATACCGGTACAATTTTTGACATTTTCATCGGGGGGGGGGGGGGGGGGGGGGGGGAGGGGGGGGGCATAGCCTCTTGCCCGAAAAGTAATTTTCTGGTTTCACAATTCGAAATAGTGAGCGTAGCGACCGAGCAACAATTTGAGCTTAATATGTATTTTGTTAAAGTGTTATTTATTACCAAAATAAACTAGAAAACTCATATTCGGGCAGCTTGCTACCCCCCCCCCCCATTACGCGCAAAGCGCGGAAGCTTTGACCTTTCTTTAATTGTTAGAGAAAGAAGACGATTTGTTGTACCATTCTCGACTCTTAATCCTTGTCTGAATTCAGTTTCCTCCCGCCCGCGCGAAGCGCGGAAGCTTTGGCCTTTCATTAATATTATTAGAGAAAAAAAAGAAGATTTGTTGTACCATTCTCGACTCTTAATCCTTGTTTGAATTCAGTTTTCCCCCTCCCGCGCGAAGCACGGAAACTTTGGCCTTTCGTAGTTTAATGAAATTATTAGAGAAAGATGATTCGTTGTTCCATTTTTCACTCTTAATCCTTCTCTGAATTGAGTTCCCCCCCCCCTCCCCCTCCCGCGCGAAGCGCGGAAGCTTTGACGTTTTCTTTAATTATAAGGGAAAGGAGACGATTCTTTGTACTATTCTCGACTCTTAATCCTTGTCTGAATTCAGTTTTTCCCCGCCCGCGCGTAGCGCGTTAGCTATGACGGTTCATCAAATTATTAGAGGAAGAAGACGAATCGTTGTACCATTCTCGTCTCTTAATCCTTGTTTAAATTCAGTTTTCCCCTCACGCGCAAAGCGCGGAAGCTTTAACGTTTCATTAACTATTAGAAAAATAAGAAGATTTGTTGTACCATTCTCGACTCTTATTACTTGACTAAAATCACCCCCCCCCCTCCCTCCCACGCGAAGCACGGAAGCTTTGGCCTTTCATAGTTTAATGAAATTAATAGAGAAAGAAGACGATTCTTTGTACCGTCCGCGACTCCTTATCCTTGTCTGAATTGAGTGCCCCCCCCCTCCCGCGCGAAGTGCGGAAGCTTTGACGTTTCATTAAATTATAAGGGAAAGGAGACAATTCTTTGTACCATTCTCGACTCTTAATCCTTGTCTGAATTCAGTTTTTCCCCGCCCGCGCGTAGCGCGTAAGCTTTGACGTTTTATTACAATATTAGAGGAGGAAGACTAATCATTGTACCATTCTCGTCTCTTAATCCTTGTTTGAATTCAGTTTTCCCCCTCCCGCGGGAAGCGCGGAAGCTTTGACGTTTCATTAAATTATTAGAGAAAGAAGATGATTCGTTGTTCCATTCTCGTCTCTTAATCCTTGTTTGAATTCAGTTTCCCCCCCGCCCGCGCATAGCGCGTAAACTTCTGACGTTTCATTAAATTATTAGACAAAGAAGACGATTCGTTTTACCATTCCTTGTCTGATTTCAGTTGCCCCCCCTCCCGACCGAGCGAAACGCGGAAGCTTTGACATTTCATTAAACTATTAGAGAAAGAAGACGATTCGTTGTACCGTTCTCTATTTTCAATATTTTTTTCTTTGTCTGCTCCTTTTTCGTCCTATGTCCTCTAACTGCCCCTACCGCTCCTGGCTACGCGCCTGCTTTAAAGGGAAAATGAAACAATCATGATTGTGATAGCACACAAAAAATCACGGCCGGGAGCGTCATATCATAGTTTTTTGTAATCGGGCGAGGGCCGGGGCGTAGCGACAAAGCGAGATTTTGCAATGTTGAAATTATGCATTCTAGAAAATTCCGCTATGTTTCTTTCTAGCTATATTTCTAAATTTCCTGGGGGACATGTCTCCCTATCGGGCCCAGGATTGCCGCCCCTGTCCATGATTACTACCAACATGAGTTCAAATACAAGCACAAGCGAGTTGGTATGAGCTGAATCCAAATGAAGGGCAAAATAAGAGTTATGAAGCGGCCCTACCGTTAATTTAAAATTTGACTGTTGAGTATATAGCTTCTTTTTAAAAGACATCAACAATATTGTGCCCTTTTCAAATTACTCACTAAAGAGTGATGACCTTTGTAGTGCAGGGGCTGTTTTTTTACGTTTAACTTTGAATCCGCGGCTCGAGATTTTATGCGGCAGGCCCGGCCCCCTCTATTCAATAACGTTTGCCAAGCCTTTTGGAATGACCCCAAATCTCCCTATTCAAGTTTTCCCTTATCCGTCGCTACTGTCACTTAGCGCCATTTCCTTGTCTTTCCCCCTTTTTCACCGACTTTTCTCTCCCCCCCCCCCACCCACTCAGTATAGGGTACGCACATGTATGTTCCCTCTCTTTGAAAGCACCCCTCTATCTCCGGTGTAAGTCAGTACGGGCCGGATTTTGTGTATTACGGGCCGGACTTTTTTGCGTGAAAAAAGTAACTCTTTATCGGAATTTTTGGGAACACAAATTCGGTCCCTCCGACCCCGGAGTGGGGGGGGGGGGGGGGGGGGGAGTTGGGCTTTCTTCTTTATCTTTCATTTTCACTTTTCTCTTCTCTTCCCTTTTCTTTTCCCTTCTCCTTTCTTTTCTCTTCTCCTTTCTTTCTTCTCCTCTTCTCCTTTTTTTCTTCTCTTCTTTTCTTCCTCTTTTTTTTTCTTTTTTTTGCGCCGCCAATAGGGGGGGCCGCGGCCGTTTCGGCCCCCCCCCCTGGATCCGCCACTGGGTATCATGAATACCAGTGTTCTATAAACACTTTTTGTTACACCGGCGTACTTTATCCATGCGGAGTGCACACATAGTCCTGCTTATTGTGTTTACAGTCTTTTCCTCCTAGAAATCCGAGACTTATTATACTTTTATGCTGGAAAAAGTGTACCAAATCGCACGAATTGAGTTTGAAAATTCGATTTTTCGATTTTTCGATTTTGTGTGGTATGTGTTCACGCTTGGATGAACAGGAGGCATTGTTTGCGAGAGTGCAAAATGTTTACAATATACTGTTCATACATGATTTTTTTTCTAAAATAATTAGCAATTTGACAGGTGTAAACAAGAGGTCAGTGGCTGCATGGCGAGCAAAAGGCATAAATAGCCTCCTCTTAATCCACTCAGTGTACAAACAAATAAGAAAAAGATATGATACTTAAATATAAGTTACGAGTATCTACAACTAAACAGCAAATTCCAATGTAATAATACTGGATATCGAAATGATGCAAGGAGATCATAAATAGCAAAACGTGCACCGACAGAGTAGCGGGATCAGTTATGGTCCGGATCTGGATGCTTGGCCCTCCTGGGCACAAACGTATAGTAAATGGTGACTGCAAATGGCAAATTAGTTCAAAAGATAAGTAATTTTTCAATTCATTATTATTTTTTAATGCGTTTTACGAAAGAATAACAATTTCAAATAGGAGAGTCTGCCACATACACTGTAAAAACAAGTTGGGCAGATGTTACTGGGCAAATCAAAGTTGGTCAAATTTTGTCCAATAATATTGGGTTATTTACTCCCAACCATTAAACTATAAAGAAGTAACATATTGAAAGTAAAAAAATAAGTTTAGTAGTTAACTGGGCAAATAGATGTAGGGCAAATGTCGTTCAACAATTGAGTTATTTCCTACCAACCATGTAGTTACCGATAAAATAATTGGGTGGGTAATATATGTTATTGGGCAAATTAAAGTTGGTCCATTTACATGTATTTTCCCAATTAATTGTTCAAAATAAGTTGGGCAGATCAAGGTTACTGGGCAAACGTAAGTCGGGCAAATATTTTTCAACAATAGGGTTATATTCTTATACTAGAGGTGTCGTGGTCGAGTGGATATGTCACAGGACTGTGAATCGGAAGGTCCGCGGTTCGAGTCCTGCCGCTGCACTAATGTCCTTTTGTATATAATACATATAATATATTTTATCCAACTTATTTGCCCAACAAGTGTCTATAATGACACAATTATTATTATGTTGAGAATTGGGTGATTTTCTGATTGGGTGAATTTTTGTTGGTTAAAAGTTGGGTGTTTTCTGTTTATCCCACACTGGGTAAATCATGCAAAATCTTTAATTTACCCAATAGTTGGTCGGACACATAATCGCTCTCATGTGGGTAAAAATTGGGCAATTTTGTTGCCCAACAATTTTTTTAGAGTGTGGCCTATACTGCCCCGTACCGGGGTTTGTCTGCATTTCCTAGCGAGCACAGTCGTTATACTACATGAAACAACAGAAGCGGATCTAGAGGGGGGGGGGGGGGGGGGGGGGGGGGGGGGGGGGGGGGGGTTGGGGGGGGGGGTTGCAACCCCCCCCCCCAAACAAAATCCGGGGACCATTTTTTAAATCTTATCTTTTTTTTAAAACTTGTAATTTTATTTTATTCTATTTCTATGTATTTATTTCATTTATTATTATTATTATTATTATTATTATTATTATTATTATTATTTCTTTTTGGGGGGGAGGGGGGGGGGGGGGTTGGGCGAACAAAATATGTCACAGAGTCCCTTGCCCCCCCCCCCCCATCAGCTTTTTTGAGGACACGGGCCACCGCCGAAGTGACAAGCTAGGCCAGCGTTGCCGATTCTCATCCCCAAAATCCCCACATTAAAAAAAAAAAAAAAAAAAAAAAAAAAAAAAAAAAAAAAAAGAAAAAAAAAAAAGAAAAAAAGAACGCACGCTGGAGAGAAACCCTTTCAAGTGCAAATATTGTGAGAAGATATTCAACTCATCTGGTAACTTAACCAAACACATGATAACTCTGGATATAACTGTGTATTTAACTGTTACTTGATTTAAAAAGACGTTATCATGCACTGCTTTTTATGGTCTCCATTGTGTTAATAGATGCCAGGAAAACATCACTTACGGGGTTCAAATAAACACCCCAAAAAAATCGGCTCGCCGCTTTGCGGCTCGTGGACGATGCTCCGCATCGTCATTATTGGTCAACCCCCCTGAGCAAAAAGCTAGATCCGCCCCTGAACAACTAAAGAAATTCGTGCTACTGATATAAAATCTTTTAAAAGAGGTTTTGCTAAAAACCACAATTATGTTTAATAGAAAGAAGATTTTCCTGTGTCATCTTTGGTATCATATTATTAGTAGCAATTTCTACGTATAACAAAACATTGATATTAGGTCTGAATTATTGCAGATTAGACTACTACCGTACACCTAGCTAGCTAGCTAGCTAGCTAGCTGGCATTTTATTTTGTCAAATATAAATGAAGGTAGCCCGCACACGGACCCTGAACGCGGCACTCTTTTCGTGGAGAAAAAAAAATCATCACAATTCTCAGATTTTAGGCAAAGTTGAAATAGCATCTGGATGGAAATAGATTAATACGGCTTTCCAGCCTTTTTAAAAGGATTTATATGTTAGGATCAGATTCAATGGCGCTGACATCAGGGGGATTTCTGTGGCTCTTGTGCTCAATCTATCTGGTGTACTTACATCATCCTCGCTCCGCCGAAGCTTCGGGTAAGAAAACCAAGGCAATTGTTATTCAAGTTTGGTATTGACGGGGCTAGCTAAGAGGTGCGCTCGATCACCTGCAAACGCTCGCTGAGTGATGCAACGCAATCACAGGCCTAGAAGAAGAAGGTCTGTGGAGTGCAGTTTGGGCAGTTGAACAGATTGATTCAGGTTGTGCTGTAGATGTCATATAAAACAAATAAAGAGTTTTTCATTAGTTAAATTTTGAATAGTGTGAATATTTCCATTTGTTGATTGATTGATTGATTTTTATTCGCCAAGCTTCTAACACTACATGTACATGTACACTGTAGACCAAGGTCTACAACAATACAAACTGTAGACCTAGGTCTACAACAATACAAACTGTAGATCTAGTCTACAAGATTAAGAATAAAATATCAAAATTAAGTCAGCTTGAACAGGATAACCCATGATCTAAATTCATTATTTGTAATTGTATAATATGGGGTATGTTGCTCTTAAAAAAAAATCGCAGTGTGATTAGTCAGGGGCGGATCTAGAAAGAATTGGTACACCCCAATAAGAGGCTTTCGAACGAAAGAGACGGAAATTCGGTCTAGGGCGGATCTAGCTTTTTTGCCAAGGGAGGGGGGGGGGGGGGGGGGTTTGACCAACAAAAAAAAATCGCACCGTTCTACTGTTTTACCCTTTTTTCCTTTTCACTTGGCCGCCAAAGGGGGGGGGGGGGGGGTTAAATATTTAAAAAAAAGTTTGAGCATGTAATTCTTCCTGAATCCTATTCCTACTTTGTTTACTGTTGCACTGAAATTGGCATACATGTAATTGCTGTAATTTCTCAACATTTTACCTTGGCTTTGCCATGTTTGTGTCTGTCTCTCTGTCTTTCTGTCTTACTCTGTCTCAGTTTGTCTTTCTATATCTTTCTATTTAATTTTCAATCAGTTCAGTTTGATATTATGGTTGCTTTCTTCACATCTCGTCATGGTTGTTCGTTAGCCACATGTACATGTATGTGCAACACAATGGCTTTGACAAATTAGATGTACCAGTACCCATTTCAGGTCCTGATCAGCCCCATAACATTAATCTTCCACAAGAAACAGCTAAATAGTTTTGAAGCCTTTGGTATAAACGCATGATAAAACAATTTGGCTCAGGGAGATTATTGGTGTGGCATATAAAGAGTTAATATTATTCCCCCACAAGTCAAAGTACATTTGAATAGCATGTATTGTACTATTTGGTAGGCCTACACTGTACGTGAAATATGAGAAAACAATGGATAAAAGGATACATGTGTAGAAGGCAACTGAAAAAATGATAAAAATTGAAATACTTGACACATCTCTTCTCTTTTTATACCCACTTCAATAAATATCTTTTGTCTGTATTACGTGTCTTATGCTATACAGTTCATGTGAAAATAAAAATAAAACAAGACTTTCACTTGAAGTGTATGTATATTTTGTAAAGCGTTTAGAGACATTTGTATTTATAAGGCTATAAAGCTAAACATTATAATTATTATTATTGCCAAAATCACTTTTGCACTTGATGTAAAGGGTTTCATGGGAAGATAAAACGAGACTTTCACTTGAAGTGTATCAATTGTCAAAATCAGTTTTGCACTTGATGTACAGTTTTAAGGGTTCGATGCAAATAAAAGATTAAATGTGACTTTCACTTGAAATTATATCAATTGCCAAAACCGGTTTGGCACTTGATACAGTGTATAAGATTGTCAGGGGTTCCATGCGGCTATACTGTATTGAAAGTGTAAGACTTTGTACCCTGTACATTGTAGATTGGGCATCTGCTCCTGTCAAGTCTTGTGTAATTCAATGTGAAGTATCTACAGTACCTGTACTGTATGGAGATCTAGATCCCATAAAATTAAAGAAAACCAAAGCTCCATAACTGATGAAGTAATTATTTGTGTATTTCTAGATGAACACAAATTATTTTGGGTGATTTTTACACTTGAACTACCCGTATGCGAGGATTAATGCCTTGAATTTGTACTTCCAATGACTCCTGGCATGCTTACTACAGGCCTTAAATTTCAATATTTTTAGGGCAAGGCCACTTTTCTGTAGGGCACATTCCTATATTACAGCACAAATAGGAAGAATTGGAAAGGGCACAAAAAATCTCCAAGGCCAATGAGAGGGGCATTGAGGCCAATCAAAGGGGCATCCAAGGCCATGGCCTTGGTGGCCTTGGATTAATTTAAGCCCTGTTACTATGACACTCAGAGTTACACTGTAAGGTGCATACCTGCCAACATTTAAAAATAAGAATTTGGAATTTTTAGCACAGAATGCCTTCGAAAATAAGAAATCGCATTTGCAGCCGCAGTGCACCTGGCAATACATGGTGAATCTGTACCAAAAAGCGAATACAAATTCGTTGCTCGACCATGCAGCCATTCAACGCATGCAATACGTGAACTCTCAAATTGCAGCACATGATAAAACAAGATTAATTTGGCTTTTTAGCACCAACATAATTTGTTTTTTCTCTCGAAAATTTGGAAATTCTGAATTTCCAGGTCCATAAAATCCTGAAAATCAGAATATTCCAGATTATTTCAAAGGGTTGGCAGGTATGACACTGTACCTACATGTACATGTCAGTTTTCCGAAATGTAGGAAATGTTTATTTTTTAAACTTTTACATGTACAGTACATGTACGTGCATATGTAGAATGCTTTGTACATGTTTGTAGAAAATTTTTATTTATTTATTTTTATTTATTTATTTCCTCTCAAAGGGTGGATGGCCCTTTCAGCACAGCTGATTTTCAAAGGGGTCCACAAACATAAAAATAACAATAAATATACAGTGAATTATACAATAATATGTAAAACGTTGCAAATGAAAGAAGTAAGGCAATGAATATGTACATGTATAGTCAAACAAATAAATATCTAACAGATTAATGTACAAAACAAACAAGCAATAAGACAGTTAATTGCAGATATTCAACTAGAACGACAACAAGCATACGAGTAAAACTGTAAAACCGATAACATAACACATAAAAAACATCAAGGTAAACATAAGAAAAAAAAACACAAGACAGGAATAAGAGGATGGGTATAATACATGTATTTATCATGTTTAAAAAACTAGAATAAAAAAAACTAGAAAAAAAATAAAAATAAATAAATATATATATATATATATATATATATATATATATATATATATTAACATAACTAATAGAATATCAAATTGAAGGTAAAATTGTAAAAAGGGCAAGATAATGTTCAGTCTAAATGAGTTCATTCAAATCAATGGTGCGAACAAAGGTAGCCAGTGTGTTTAACGTTCCGTTTTAAAAGAGCTATGATAAAAGAAACTTCTTCTCAAAAACTCGGTCTTAGGCTTTGGAAGCTGAATTTTATGATCGCTATTTCTTAAATTGTGTGGATTATGTCGTAATTCAACTCGTGAAGATAAGTATGTTGAAGTTACGTCATGCATTATCTTGAATAACATGATTAAATTTCCTCTTGTCCATCTATCAACGATTGGGATTATCTTTGCTTGTTGGTAGATTTCTCGAGTTCTTTGCTCAAAAGGTGCCTTAATCATAATCCGTACAGCTCTATTTTGTAGAACACGTAGCTTATTTAATACGACGTGAGTAGCATTATTCCAAATTATAGAGCAGTAATCAAAGTGTGTTTGAAAAATACTTAAGTATAGCATTCTAGCAGTACACAAGTCAACGATAGGTCTGACTTTACGAAAGAGAAATAAGCCTCGGACAACTTTTTTGCGTACATGGTCTATGTGCAGTTTCCAATTCAAACTAGGATCAAGAATTACGCCAAGATATTTACAACTCTAAACTTCTTTCAGTGCATTGTTACCGATGTGTACATTATGTATATTAATATTTACATTATGAAACTGCTTTACTCTTTTATGGGATCCAATAAGCATATATTCAGTTTTGCTCATATATTAAGTATCAGCCTGTTAGCATTCAGCCATAAAGTTACTGTATTTAAATCATCATTAACCTTGTTTGATACATCATTGGCACTATTGGAGGAATAATATATACACGTATCATCTGCAAATAATGATATTGATGAATGCTTCACCACATTTGCATTGTCATTTATGAATATTAGGAATAACATCGGCCCCAATATTGATCCTTGTGGGACTCCGCACTCTACTTTCCCAACAGATGATGTAATACCATTTACTTTGGTGACTTGCATGCGCTCACTCAAATAGTTTTTAAACCAAGATGCACTATTTTGATCAAATCCGTACCATTCGAGTTTCTTTACGAGCAGATTGTGATCTACAGTATCAAACGCTTTCTTTAAATCCAACGCTACAAATGCGGTTACCAGACCGTTATCCATATTAGATAATAGATCTTCAGTAAGGTTCAAGAGGGCTGTTGCGGATGAATAGTTTTGGCGAAATCCAGATTGGTGACTGTACAACAACAAATTTTGTGTAAGATATTCAGTGACTTGTTCATGCACAATCCTTTCAATAACTTTAGATAGGATCGGGAGGATCGAGATCGGTCGGTAGTTTGACAATTAAAAAACATCCCCACTTTTGAATATGGGGATTACTACTGCAGTTTTCCATTCCTTCGGGATTACGCCACTGGTTAGAGACAAGTTTATCAAGTGTGTCAATGGTGAGACAATGTAGGACATTGCCATTTTAATCATTTTAACCGGTAAGTCATCCAAACCAGTGGCCTTATTTTCAGGAATATTTGTCAGCACTCTTTTACATCTTCGATCAAAACAGCCTAAAATTCAAATGTTGTATCTGCCCTTTTTAAAAAGGAAGTAAAGTCACCATAACCATCATGTAATGTTCGTGCAATACTGACAAAAAAATCATTAAAAATGTTAGCCATTTCATGATCGTTATTAATCGTTTCGTCATTAAATTTAATACCAGGAATTCGAGAGTTACTCCGTTTATTAGGGATCATACATCTAAGTGCTTTCCAAATCGCAGCACTATTA